TGCTATTTCTTTTTCCCAATTTTACTGCTTTCTACATCTTTTAAGACTACAATGAGTACGGATATACAAGTTATTCATAAGCATCTACAAAGTAAAATCAGCTTTAAAATATTTAAACATGATTAATATTTCCAATTAACATGTAGGGGAATGTATTGGGTATTTCACAGAATGTTTACAAAAAATAGATGCAATATCATCTTTGGGAAACTAGAGTATCATAATAATCAGCAACCACAATTTTTATTTATATCATCTTGTTTTGTGGAATATCTGCTTTCTATCACACTTATTTGTACCACGTACTGACATAAGCTACATTTATAAGTAGCTAACATGTGAAAGCAGACAGGCATAATGGTGTGGACAGAGTGCTGGCCTTAAAGCCAAGACCACCTGGGTTCAAGATGCACCTTTGATACATGTTGGCTGTGTAATCCTGGACAAGTCACTTAATGTCTCAGCATGCTCTAAGCAATTCTCTTGACTCTTAAGTTGCTGAAGTGCCAATATGCCCTGGCAAAGGGAGTTTCCTCAGCTGAAAGTTTACTATACCAGTAAAATCATAGGTCCAGTCCCTATCTTCATCTGATATGTGAAACACTAAGTATGAAAGGTATTTGAATAAACGTCTGATTGGTATTTGTTGATCATGCCACTACACAGTACCTATAGGTGGTATTAGTCCTAAACAGGAGGGGTAGTAGAGAGAGAGGGAATGAAGAAAGTAATTTGAGTGCTATTCCAAAAGTTGCAAATTTGCAGCTAAAACAATTACCATTTTGCCTAAGTTTGTCAGTGAGATCAAAGAGTCAGCTCATCTCTGTCAATGGTACTTTGGCTAATTATTTCAGTACTATTCTACAGAACATAACTTTCTCAGCCTTAATTTTCTATCTAGTTTCATTATATCCCCAAACACTCAAAAGGGAGAAAAAGAACAAATGCAAACCACAGTAAAAGAGATCCATAAGAAGACCCAAACACCTAATGAGAATAACTGTACTAGAAAATTCCACTTATGCTTCCAGAGTTTGCAAGCATTAGCATCCTCTAAGCAGAGTCATGGTAAATAAAAAGAAATATAGAAAGTTCTTCCTCATGCTCATGATCGTCCTCTTCAAGGCCTCTGGAGATTTTGCTCAATTTAAGGCCCATCTAGGACTACACCCTGTCCTGCATGAAGAAAAGGTGCCATACCTGTTTTGGTCTTTCAATACTTTTGTGAGAAATTTTTTCAGGTAATTTTATTATATGGGATTATCTATTTACACTAAGATTTAAACTAGATGACCTCTCAAGTTCCTTCCAAGATTCTATGTTAATAGTTTAACAGAAAACAGCCTAATACAATTATTAGCTTAAAGCTCTGCCTTTAACATGCCTGTTAAGAAACTGCTGCTACTTCCTTTTTTAGCTATTTCTCTTTAGTTATTATTTCTGTTGATTCTATGGTCTAGACATCTTGATAATCTGCATATATAATGAATAACCATGTACTCTGTGACTGGTAGGGCTATTTAGTTCAAATTAAAAATCTATATACCTTTAAGCTGAGACCTATCTATAAATGAAGTAATGATGGGCAAGTATTTAGAAAATCTTGCCTCTACAATGCTTCAGAGGTACAAGTCCTTTATGAAAATGTGAATCAATAGATAATCATAGCTCTTAAAATGTAAAATGTTTTTACCAGTTCCACTTCTAAATGAAACCATGTTCAAGGACAACTCAAAGGCCAAAAGCTAAGTATTTGTGCAGGAACATGTGCCCATCTGATTAAAGTTGAGGCTAAATTTTGGATTCTAGGATTTAGAGCTCGAAGTACTCTTAGATATCATCTGGTCCAGCACCCAGTCACTTTACATATGGGGAAACTGGGACCTCAAGAGGCCTAGTGACTTATCCAAGAAACCACAAAGAGTCAGTAGCAGAGCTAGGAACTGATCCCAAATCTCTGGTTCAAAATACAGTCTTTTTTACACTATACTATGCTATCTCTAGGTGTCAAGAATAGATAAAAGTGTAAGAGTGGGCATATCTCTCCCATATTTATTTGAAAAGAAGAATGTGTCCCTTTAAAGCATTTTTGAAAAAAATGCATATTTATTAATTATAATAAATGTAGATGCTATTTGAAATGTGCATACAAATGACATTTGTTCTTTTCTAAAGGCACATATAAGGTTTTATGATATTAAAAAAAAACTTTACCAGACTCACATAAGGTCTTACATTAGGTAAACAAACCACCAAGAGCCAAGTTAGCATAGAAATATGTCACTAATGAGGATTGATGTTTTTACCAATAATAAAATCAAAACAGAAGCCCACCTTGCATACTATTACCTGCATGGACAAACACTTTATTCCAACATGTCTGATAATGATACAGCTACAGTGGCATCTCCTCAGACTTAAAAGATTATGGGGGGCAAAGGAGAAGTACTGAATTGTAAACATAATTAATTTAAGTACAATCCCAGAGCATCGCAAAGAAATAAGGGATGATGTTACTTAAATGATAAAAAGCATAATATAAAATTCTAAGCAGCCTAGGGTTTTAGCTGCTCAGACTCACAGAATATTACAATCAGAAGAGATTAAAGGTCATCTAGAACAATTCTCTGATTTTACAGATGAAGAAACTGAGGCCCAAAGAGGTTAAGTGACTTGTCCAAGGTGACCCATCGTGTGTTTCAAAGCCAGGATTCAAACCCAAGTCCCCTGACTCCAAGTCTATCATTCTTCCTTCTGCGGGCTTACACAGGCAAGCACTGTCATTCCCAATTTATAACTGAAAATCCCAGATCAAGAGAGGTAAAATAATCAATGACTCAAAGCAAGGAAGGACCAGGACTCAGGAGTCTTAACTTCCTTCTGAGCTATGAGAGCTGTAAAGAGTTTCTTCCCGAGGGGCAAAGACCTTCCCCTTTACATACCTCCCTGCTGGAGAGACCACAGTAGTTTCAATAATCTTCCCACGGGGATCCGTTCTGCTAGATGTGAGTTCTTACTCCACTGTAGACTGTTGTCATTTGTTCATCCTAGGCACTCCCTAGGCAGCTTGGTAATTAATGCTTGTCCTAGAGGAATCAATAAAATCCTGGGGGGAAGGGGAGGACTGGGAGGGTCAGTGGTATCCACAGAGCATGAGGTACCAGCCCTTGCTGGAGACACAGATGCTGTCACCATCTGAAGATCAGAAACGCCTAGCCATACCACCTGAGAGCAAAAGGAGATGGGTCCCCTCCAATCAGGTGCTTAAAAAAAATCATACATTAATATGTATATGATGCATATATGGGTGTTTGTTTGTCTCTATGTCCATAATTAGGGATTGGGGATGGCTATAGATCAGTCAGTGCCAAGAGGTTACAGAACTGAATCAAATTACATTGTTTTCCATATGTTTATCCTGGTGAAATATGGCTCAAATGGATACCATGAGTGACTTTGAATAGAAAGAAATGTCACACAAAGACAATCGGGGAGTGGGGGGTGGGGAGGAAGAGAATGGGAGGAAAGTTTGAAAGGTGGGAGAGAAAGGAAGGAGGGGAGAGGGAGAGGGAGAGAGAGAGAGAGAGAGGAGGGGGGAGGGAGAGAGAGAGAGAGAGGAGGGGGGGAGGGAGAGAGAGAGAGAGAGAGAGAGAGAGAGAGAGAGAGAGAGAGAGAGAGAGAGAGAGAGAGAGAGAGAGAGAAAGAAAGAAACAGTTTCTGATAAAAACCTATCTCAAGTTGCCCTTGTAAGAATTCTTTTCCTCATCCAGGTCAACTAGGGTGTTCATTTGAGCCAATTTTGACCTGAATGGATGCATGTGACAATAACATGATTTGCCCTAGCTCTAAACCCTCTGAGGACAGACTTACCTAGAGTTGTCCCCAAATGCCTAATTATGGATTCAGGCTCTTACTATTTTCTTTTTACCTCAGGAAAAATCAGATACCTCCAAAAAGGATGTGCCTATAATATCCTCTTGCCCTCTGGGTGGTTCCCAGTGATGAAGCCAACCCTAGGATGTTCAAAGGGGCACTCGAGGAACTGGTTTTGCTGCAGTGTCTATTCTAAGATGGCCTCAAGTTCAGCAATGACTCAGTAACTGACTGAAGAAGAGGCTTGTCATTATAGGAGCCTGCTGGAGTTGTTGTATTAAAGGATAAAACATTTTATGTTCCAGTCAATTTTCCCTTTAATATACTGTCTTTGAAAACAGCAGCCTAGTAGTGAAAAGAGCCCTTCAGGCAGAGGCCTTCGGTTCCAGTCTAAGCTCTGCCTCCACCTAACTTTGTGACCTTGGACAAGTCACTTCCCACTCTGGTTCTCAGCTGTCCTCTCCATAAAATTAGGGGACCAAAGTGGTTGGCTGTGAAGGTGCTTTTCAACACTAACATTCAATGAATCCATAAGACTACGTTCTGTTTGAAAATTATATTGGGAGAACTGTTTGAAATTAAAATGTTAAATATTACGAAATGCTAGGTGTAACAGCTAAAACAATTTGTTCAGATGGACTACGCTTCTTTCCTTTAATAAAGTCTTCCTTCGGTGCTTCCTCCGGGGGGAGATGACCCTAGATATTTGGAACTATACCAGTAGTGCAAGTTCTGGCAGACCTTCCCCAGGAGCTCAAGGACAGCCCCTTAGATGGACTCTGTGTCAGCTATCCAAGGACCAGCTCAGCCAAGTAGAGAAAGGCTCATCTTTGGAAAGCTGCCACCACATGGTAAGACAGTAACGTTTTTGGTTACAACAATTCCTAAGATTTGAAGGGGTTTCTAACTGTATCACTGGAAGAGGTTCCCACGTGATGGGGCTTTCAGACTACTATGGGATGACTTTGACATTGAGGGACACATTGCCTCAGGGATCATAAAAGCATCTGTCTAGTCTTACCAGGATCTTTTGACCCTTTTAACCCAACCTCAGAGATTTTCAGCACTCTGCTAGGGCGCCAAAGAAACAAAATCTTCTTTACTTGTAAAACGAATAAAACCAGTACAAATTTTCCAGAGGAACAAGAATTCAGAACGAACCCTTATTCACAAGGTAGTCTGGTCTCGTGCACATCAAATTTCTCATACTTTGAATTCCTGTAGACTTGTGGGCAATTTAAACAAAGGAGAACACCTGGTATGTTCTTTCACTTACCAACCAATATCTATAGGTTACTAAGGACTGGCAGAGGCAACAACCTGAGGGAGTGATACTGGCTCACAATGTAAAAAGCAAAACAGGGGACAAAGTAGATCCAGAATGACCAAGCAGGAATGGTGCCTTCTACCACGTGGCCTTCATTTGCCAGGAATGAGGTGTGCACTGTTCTCTTACGGCAGTTTAGAACACAAAGAGGGGAGAGAGGGGCCTGGAATTTCACTGATTTTATCTCAGATATGGCAACTGCCTAGGCTCACAGAGTCAGTCTGCACATATGCTTGCTGAGGGTTGAAGAGGGGGGAATGTCAGTACTTACTTTTTTCCTCTCTCTACCTCTCTCTCGCTTCTCCATCTCCGTTACTTGTGTGTTTTTTTTTTTACAAGTTAAGCATAAGATACACTCTGAGAACACATGAAGCACTCACTTTGATGGGCTTCCACTGTGGCATTCAGGATGATGGGGCACTGAAATCATAAATCTCAATTCTCAAAGTACAAAATATACTTTCAGACAACAGTTTATCCACTAGGAGAACCGACATCACATGATTCTTAAAACAAAATAAGGGAATATCTTTCCCAAATTATAGTTAACTTTAAATTATAATTTGACTATACTATATTAATAGGAATACGAAACACTGACAATCTGATGAAACTGGCAATTTTCTGTTAGATACAAAAAACCGAAGATCAAGTTGATATAAAGATTATAAGAAACTCTTTAAAGCTTTAAGAAAAAGAAAGAAAGAAAGCCCATAGCAACATGGGGTTGTTTCTAAAAGGAAAGGTTAATTAGTCTAAATTCAAGATTGCATAACAACAACACAAGTTTATCCACCTACCTAATGGGCACAGAACTACTGCAGCAAGAAGCTTAGCTTAATTTGGCTTGACAGGCTGAGTCAAAAGCCCAATTAGACCATACAAAATGTTTCATATCACTAGAACAAAATGGTTTCCTATGTTGAAGTTCTCTATTTATTATGCTATTTTTACATGGTAACAAAGTTTCTCCATTTTTTTCTAGCTGAATATACACGAATACAAAAAGCAATTGGTTTTTTTTTCTTGAGGTTGGTGGGAAGTTACGGCCTATAAGCAGCCTTAGGAAGTAGTCTCCATGCTTTCCTCTTTACTTAAGCCTTCCACTCTATGGCTCTTTTCAGTCATCTTCTTGTTGATTTCTTTTCTGTCGAAGGAAAACAAATAATACATTAAAAAGTATATTTTAATGGGGATATTTGTGACATTCAATTAACTCTTTCTGCAAAATGAACACAGTTTTCCAGAGACTTTGGCTTTATATATAGTGAAGAATTATGGAAAAGATGGTGCTGTCTTGCTGCTTTGGTTCCTGAACAAATCAAGCTTGATTCTTTCCATACTTCATTCCTCAGATATAAAAAATGCTCTTCCATAACAATGGCAGAAATACAGAATTGCTGACATCCTAACAGACTAGAATTTACTTGTATATTTACTTGTATATGCAGTACAAGTATTGTGAAATTTTAATCTGAGAGTAGTCAAACAGCTAGAGAAGGATGGAATGAAGGAAACAATTAACACCCATTAGATAATTTCTCCCTTCAGCTGACTGGGAAGAGAAAGCTTGTTTCTATTTATTCAGCATTAAAATAGGAATTATAAAATTTATTAAATCTATTGCATTAGATACTTAATAACAATCTAAAAAGCTAAACATTACAGGACTATTTTCTTGAGCAGACTTGAAAACAAAAATTATTTGCTAAAAACTTGTTTACCAGTTTTAGAAAGTCTATTAGTTTATGAGCATCTTCACCAGTGGAGAGGTGTACAAAATCTTTAGGTAGCCGGTAACTCAGGTAGGGACTTGGTTGTACTGTAACTTCACTGTTTGTGCAACGAAAGGCTGGAGAATCCTTTAAAAATAAAAGATTATACAAATATTGCAAATTCAATTCCAAGATTATGACTCTATTTGTATTTGTTCAGAGGTCATTCATTTCACCAAAAAATAGTCCAAGACAAAAAAAAAATCAACCTTTCCATCCCAATTTCTTTCAGTGGTACCACCTTTATTCCAGCCTCCTAGGCTAGTAATCTTGTAATCATCCTATGTTTAACCTTCTCATTTGTCCCCTATCTTTAGTATGTCATATTAAAAGCAAATGGAAATCAGATTCTGAAATGAAAAGGATTCCAAGGTGTACATTCTCTGCTGAAAAGTACCATTTGCAATTACCTAGTATAATCCCCTTACTTGATAAACAATAATAACATTTATACAGCATTGCGAGTTGTACAAATCACTTTACATGTATTATCTCATTTGATCCCCTGCAACAACCCTGTGAGGTAGGTATAATTATTACCCCCATTTCACAGCTGAAGAAAGTGAAGCTGAGAAAAAGTTATGTGATTTGCCCAAGGTCACAGATATTAAGTATCTGAGTCAGGATTTGAATTCAGGTCTTCCTGACTCTAAGTCCACTACTCTGTCTGCTATGTCACCTCTCTGCTTGGGATGAGGAAATCACAACCTAGAAAGCAGGAATAATTTGCCTAAGATCACATGGCAAGTATATGGTAAAACCAGAACAGAATCTAAGTCTCATCACTTCCAGTCAAGTGTTTTCACATTGTACCACATTGCCTTCTTATATATACCATATAGCTATACACATATACATACATCATAAATATTACATGTATGTATACACACAATTAAGTGAACAATACATGTTACACACACACACTAATAAGCCAATATCTTCTGACCAAGCAAGGATATGGTTAGGCTATAGAGAAGGGAGTTAACAATATGGACAAATAAGCGATATATTAAGAGCACATGTACAAAGTAAGTTATGTTGCTGTCCATTCAGTACTATCCTTGAAATGTAAAAATTATATTATTATTTTTCCAGTAGTTATGATGGATTTGGGCTAATCCAAATACATCCTCCTTTTAAGAATCTCTTAGGACTAACTATATCCAACTGTGATATGCTCTCAAGGGACAGAAACAAAATAAAAGTGAGTGAAGTGAAATGGCCCATATGAGGAATGTCTTATCAAAGTAACCAAACACATCAAATCAGCTCTATATTCTATTAGCAGAAGTATATCAGCTCAAATTCATTTGCCATAAAAATATATGAGACAAATCATACTTCCAAAAAAAAGAAAGAGAAGCTGATAAATATCACATAAAAAATAGGCACATCCATTTTTCTTGGGAAAGCACATTTGTATATTTGTAATGGATTTTGTATTTCTTGCCTTATCAAGGCAAGGGAAGGGAGTTGAGGGATGGAGAGAATTTAGAACTGAAAATAAAATAAAACTGAGTAACAAAAATAGAGCTTTTGTATGGGTGGGGAAGGGATTTGAGGGATGGAGAGAATTTAGAACTGAAAATAAAACTGAGTGATAAAAATAGAGCTTTTGTACATATAAGTATAGGACTTAAATAGTGAAGATAATAGTTGTTTTTCAAAGTTGAAAATTACAAAGAATTTGCCACATTTTCTATTTGTTATATTTATTGTTACAAAAGAAATACATGTTTCATAATTCTACTAATAAAGTTGACTTGACACTAAGTATAATTCACATAAGGGCTATATTTCTTTCCTAAACTCAAATCATCATTGTAAAATTATTTTGATAATTGAACAAGTGTTGAAAGAACTTCTGGCCTTTTTACTGACCTTTGGACAAGGTTTTTGGCCTTGAGCTATGAAGTTCATCTGAACTTGTGGATAAGATGGAAAACATATATATACATATATATATGTATATATATATGTATATATATATGTGTGTGTATATATATATATATATATATATAGAGAGAGAGAGAGAGAGAGAGAGAGAGAAGTAAGAACCTTTAAAAACATTAGCAAGAACTTATTTAACTTAATATTTACTTGTGATCCTCTATTAAAGGGAAGGCCAAGACTTACTATGAAAACATTTTACCAAAACCAAGGTATTCTTGGTTTTTCTGGATCTCCAGATTCCAACTGAGTCATATTAAAAATAGGAACTGAACTTCCAAAATGAAATTTAGAAGTATACTTATACAGATGAGGCAACGCATTCTGGGTATGAGGGAGAGCCCTTGCAAAGGTATGAGATGTCAGATGAAGTGCCAGGTCTGAGCAACAAGAAGAGGCCATCCTGGCTAAAATGTGTAGAAAGGCTGAAAAGGTAGAATGAGGCCAGGCTGGGAAGGCTTTAAATGCTAAAAAGAAGAGACATTAGGAAGGTAGAAATGACATTATTTGGTAACTGGATATGTAGAGTGAGGGAGAATGAGGAACTGAAGATGATGCTGAGTTTGAGAACCTGGGTTCCAGTTTTGTTTTGGACCAACTAGCTGTATAATGATGGGCAAGTATCTCTCCAGGACTTGTAAGTCATAAACAAGTAGCTCACTGAGGCAGGAGTTCCTACATCAGAAATTCTCTACACTGAACGCATTATAGGCCTGCACTCCAACAGTCAAGTGGTTGAAGGATACGAGTAGGCAGTTTTCAAAGAAATGCAAACCTATCAACATATAAAATATGGAAGAATGCTCAAAATTACTAATTATAAAAGAAAAAAATTCAAGGCTCTATCTCACACCTATCAAACTGGTAGATGAAAAAGTTGAAAATGGCAATTATCAGAGGGGTTATGAGAGGAAAGGCACACTAAAGCACTGCTGGTAGAGCTGTGAGTTAGTCTAGCCATCATAGAAAACAATCTGGAATTATACCCCAAAATCACTAAATTGTACATTAGACTTTGGCCCCATGATACCACCACTGAGTATATTACTTCCAAAAGGTCAAAGACAAAACAAAGGATGTTTATGTATAAAACATTTACAGTAACTTTTTTTGTTGAAACAAAGTACTAGAAACAAAATGGGTGTCCATCAATTGGGAAATGGCTAAACAAATTATGGAAAATCACAGCACCTAAAAATCGCAAATAGGAAAGATTCAGAAAATTTTAGGAAGAGTTATATGAATTGGTGCATAGTGAAATGAGCAGAAGGAATTCAACTGCCAAAATGACTATAATAATATAAAAGAAAACAGCTTTGAAAGACCTCAGAACTCTAATCAACTCAGTAAACAATCTACTACTTCAAAAGACTGATAGTGAAAAATATCTCCCACCTCCTAGCAGAGACAATAAACCAAAGTTATGGAATGAAAGACACATTTTCTGACATAGCTAATGTGCTGATTTGTTTGACTATAATATTTGTTGCAAAGAAGAGCTTATATCTGGGGAGAAAGAGGATGAGTTAGTGAATAGTGAGAGATATTTTTAAAAAACAATGAAGCATTAAAAATACACCAAGAAAGAAAGGAAGTTCAGGACAGCACATAAATAGGGCAATTTTATCTCGTTAAATGTGTATTATACACTTTTAAAAATCAAGCAATACATAACAGAAATTCACAGTTTCACATGCAATCCTCTTTTTATGTTCTCTGTACACTGAACGGTTTTTGTTTCTTGATGATTGTTAAGTTCATAATAATAAATCAAAATTTTAAAGAAATCACAAATCTTGACTCCCTCAGAATGTGTGCATGCATACATGAATGTGAACATACATGAATGTGAACATATATGCACAGAATGCACTGCCAATTCAAAATTCCAAGTACCAAAGGGACCATCAAATTGGAATTGAATCCATTTGTCATTTTTAGATAGACACAAGCTCAGTGACCTTGGGAAAATCACTTAATCCGCCTGCCTCAGTTTCCTCATCTGTAAAATGTATCTAACAATAGCACCTATCTCCCAGAGTTGTTGCAAGGATAAAATGAGATATTTGTGAAGTGCTTTGCAAATCTTAAAGTGCTCTATAAATGCTATCATTATTATTGTTGTTGTTATTTTAGTTAGAAGACCTTTCAAGCATAGTTTTCCAGTTAAAATGTTTGTCTTTAATATTTTCTTTTTTTATCGACATATTTTCTTTAGACTCAACAATCACTAACCTACAACCCAAAGTACTGTAACTGAAAATAGTAAAGCAAAACTGCCTAGTTGTGTTAATGACTGATATGACAGAAACTACTTTTGTAGCTTACCAATTAACAGAAAAGACATGTCCTTTAACTTTGATAACATGGTGTCAACACTGAACAATTTGACATGAGTTTTGATGCATTTTTAGAGACATCTTTATTTAAATTATTGGAGTAATTGTGTATAAAGTTCTTTTGCCACTGCTTTCTTCACACTACCTGAGATTCTTTCAACAGACAATAGTAGAATGGTTAAAAAAAACTTATTCACTATCTTTACGTATTTTTAAAAATTCACTCCTTTTATTAGCAAATAATCACCAGTATTCACAATTGACTTATTCATTCTTAAGAAACTAAATTACAAGTAGCAATCAAACAATAACCATACACTTGGATTTTCAAAGAAGTTAATACAATATATTCCTATTGTAAAGAAAATGGCAAAGTCCTATGCAGTATCTGTCAATTAGACTACATCTTTCAACTTGACAATATTTTCACTTTCCCTTCTACAAACTAAAAAGCTAAGCTTCGAGCTGAGTTTTTCAGTAAACATTAAAAATGATATATTTTAATCAAGGAAAACTATTATTCCAAACTAAGTATGATGATGAGGCTTAGACTGCCAGAGGAAATTCTGGAATCAGCTTACTGAAGCAGGTGCTTCTGCTGGTTCTTTTCTTACCAATAAATCAATAATTAAAAGAACATATTCAATGAGTACTACTGTCACCTAAGGAGCCTTCTGATGAGGGTGAAAGAGGAGAGTAATAAAAGCTGGCTCGAAGCTTAACATCAAATAAACTATGATCTTGGCAACTGGTCCCATCACTTCCTGACAAACAAAGGGAGGAGAAATGGAAGCAGTGTCAGATTTTATATTCTCGAGTCAAAGCTCACTGCAGGCAATGACTACAGCCATGAAATTAAAAGACACTTGCTCTTTGGAAGGAAAGCTATGGCAAATCAGGACAGGATACTAAAAAGCAGAAACATCAACTTGACGACAAAGATCCATGTAGTCAAAGTTATGGTTTTTCCAGTAGCAATATATGACTGTGAGACTAGGACTATAAGAAAAGCTGAGCACTGCAAAACTGACACTTTGTTGGAGAAGACTTTTGAGAGTCCCTTGGACAGCAAACAGATCAAATCAGTCAACACTTAAAGAAATCAATTCAGACTATTCACTGGAAGGTCCAATACTGAATCAAAAGCTTAAATATTTTAGCCACATAATGAGAAGACAGGGCTCAGTGGAAAAGACCCTGATATTTGGAAAGGTTGAAAGCAAAAGGAGATGGGGATGGCAGAGGATGAGATGGATAGATAGTGTCATGGAAGAAATGAACATGAGCCTGGACGAACTTCAAGAGATAGTGGAGGATAGAAGAGCCTGGGTTGCTACGGTCCATGAGGTCACAAAGAGTTGGACACGAATGAACAACTGAACAACCACAACAACAACAACTATGTGACCATTACATGGTGTAAGATATTTTGGAATATACAAAATCTAAGACATGGCTCCAAACCTCAGTATCTCAATACTTACTTCACGGATCTCTTACCAGCTTTGGCATGGCCCACTCTCTACACCGATGAAGACTGCAGCTCTTCTATAACTTAGTAGATAATCTCTGAGAATTGTTATAGCTGAAAAATTAGTCACCCTGAAACCAACTTGGTGATCTGCCTCTCCAAATTTTGTTGGTAACAGAGGAAGTCTATAAGAATTAGCTTAAGCCAACAGGGAACAGCTAAGGCTGAACCTAAGGTTAAGCTTTGGGAGAAAAATGAGAATTAAAGAAGACTTGCTTTGGGGTAGATGGGACAAGGTTAACTGATGAGAAAGACAGCAGAACTGCTGGGTTCATATCATGTTTCTGTTTTTTTCTGCCAAGAAAAATAACTTCTACATTAGAAATGACAGAACAAAATAACTAAAAGTAAGGATGGTCAGATGTCTTATTCTACTTTGGTGGATCACCATCCATAACATGGCTCCGCATTCTGAATATAACCAAAGGCTCTGGCTTGGGTCCTCTTCTCTCTCTAGAGACTCTCTCATTTAATGACTTCATCAGTTTCATTAAATTATCAATACTCTGTGAATGACTCCCAGATCTCTCAGCCTTAGTCTCTCACCTAAACTTTAGTCCCAAGTCATTAACTGCCTCGTGCACATTTCAAAATGGATGTCCCATAGATATCTCAAATTCAACAAGTCCCAAACTGAAATAATTATTTTTACCCCCAAACCCAGCCTTATTCTAATACTTGTTTTAAAAAAAATTGCTTAGCACAGTTCCTGACACATAGTGGGTACTATGCAAATGCTTATTCTATAACCCACTCCCCATCTCCATTCTGAACTTCATTTATTCCTGTTGATAGTAATACCATTCTGCCAATTACCAAGATCTACAACCTTAGTGTCATCTTCAACTCCTGATACTCATTCATTCCATTTATCCAGTCTGTCGCTAAATCTTGTCATGTCCGCCTCCACAGCATCTCTTGCATACATCCCCTTCTCTCAACTTACACAGCCACCAGCCTAGTGCAGGCCTTTATTACTTCTGACCTGGACTACCTTAACAGTCTTCTACTTGGTCTTCCTCCCTTAAGTCCCTACCCTTCTTAAATCAATTTTTCACAAAGCTGGCAAACTGATTTTCCTAAAGCACAAATGTTTCTCCTACTCAATAAACTCTAGTATTTCCATAACTCCCAGGATCAAAATCCCCAGTGTGTCACTTAAAGTCTTTCATAATTTGGCCCCAACTTTTTACAGCCATATTGTATCCATGTCCAGCACTCTCTCCCCATCTCTGAACCTTTTGCACTGACAGTCTTCCATGGTCAGATGCATTCACTGCCCTGTCTCCTTCAAGGGTTAGCTCAAAAGCCACTATCTATAATACATCAGGACTCTCTTGATCTCCCTCCACCTCCTCCATCCCTATCCCTCAAGCCCTGCCCAGCTGCTTGTGTCATATCTGAAAACAAAAGTCCCCTCAATCTATCTTGTGTATCTGAAGCCTACATACATACATGTTTCCCCTGGCTACACTAGGAGCTCCCAGAGGGCAGGGGCTGGTGTCTTTTTGTCCTTGGCACCTACTATAGTGCCTGCTCTACAGCAGCTGCTAAGTAAATGGTGGTTGATTATTTGTGTATGTGTTTTTTATGTACCTATCATGCAAGCTGTCTCCGTCTTTTGAATGTAAGTTCTTTGGAGGGACAGTTTTACTTTAATCTGCATCTTCAGAGCTTTGCACAGTGCTGGCACAGAGAAGATGTTAAATAAAGACATGACTGTTGATTGTTTGATGCCTCTAAAAAAGGGAAGCTGAAAGACTGAAATATGACCTTAGAACTCTAATTAAAGAAAATGGGTGGAGATATATATATGTATATATATATATAGATATAGATACAGATATATAGATATATATATCTATATATATCTATATATCTGTATCTATATCTATATATATATAGATATAGATATATACGTAAACGCTCTGAAAATCATAAAAAAGTGAAAAACATTATTACCTCATTTTTCTCATCTTTTTTAAGTAGGGTTCAAACAGACACAGTCCTGGAGCAAACTGCTATCCTGCTACGCTTCTTTTATATACAGTGTTCTCTAGACTACTGCACAGATGTACAAAATAACTGTAACTGAATGGTTACTAGCATGTCAACTTGCCTTCCGTAAGCTTAGTCCTCACTTTGTACTCGTCTATCCAGTGACACTGGCCTCCTGACTGTTCCCCAAACAAGAAACTCTTCTCTCTCAGGTCCAGGCATTTTCTCTGGCTATCCCACATGCCTGGAATGCTCTTCTTCCTCATCTCCGCCCACTGACTTCCCTGACTTACTTCAAGTCCAAGTTTCTGAAGGATAGAGGCAACTAGGTTGGCACAGTGGATAGAGGGCCAGTCCTGGAGTTAGGAAAACCTGAGTTCAAACATGGCCTCTGACACCTACTAGATTTGTGATCCTGGGCAAGTAATCTGACCTCTGTGCCTCAGTTTCCTCAACTGTACAACTGGGATCAAAATAGCACCTATCTCACAGGGTTGTCGCAAAGATAAAACAAGATAATATTTGTAAAGCATTTAGCACAGTGCCTGGCACATGGCAGATGCTTAATAAATGCTTATTTCCTTCCTTGCTTGAGGCAAAGAAGAACAAGGAGGCTATTGCAATAGTCCAGGAAAGAGATGATGAAGGCCTAAGCTAATGGGTTGGCAGCAGAAATGGAGAGAAGGAATTGATGAGAAAGGTTGTGGATGAAAAATCAAACAAGGCAGATGACTGGATATGTAGGGTGAATGAGGAGCCATGATGATTCAAAAGCTATAAGCTGTATCCTTGACAGAAAGATACAAAAAGGATGAATTTGGGGGAAGAGGGAGGAAACGAATCTAGTTTTGGAAACACTGAATTTGAGATCCCTATGGCATATTCAGGTGGTGATATGAATGTGGTGTTCCTGAGAGACAAGAGTTGAAGACAAAAATGATGGAATACCACAATCTAATATCTTAGAAGATCACAAAGGCATAAATTTGAGTCTCTTAAGTGAGTACCCTCATGAGAGATTCTCTTATCATACTCTTCATTCAATTCCTTCAAACTGAAGGGAAAGACAAGAAAAAATGGAATATCCTTCTATTTTGAACAACCATCAAAAGAGAAATTAAGCCACATATGTTTTTACTACTTTGAGCTCAGGTTTTGTTGTAACACATTTTATAACCAGCTGATAAGAAAAGATTAGAGGAAATATATATAGCTTGGCTGAGATAAAAGAAAGGTATGTATGGGAAGAAATCTACAAATATTTCAGTAACAAAAGAGAAACAGGAGACAGCTGTAATGCGAAGTCAAACATATAAGGTAATTATTTTAGGAAAAATTCTCAAAAATAGGAATTCATAAAAACAATATCTTAAGTAAATAAATACAAGTATTCAAGTCAATAATTATTCCATATAAATGATCAAAAAAAATTTCTTATTACTTACCTGGCAAGTACCTTTTCTTATATGTGTCTAGTGGATAAGTATTTATAAAATTTACTTTAGACTAAAGCTTTTCCAAGGTTATGGATAATTAAGTTTATTTGATTACACAAGACCCTGAGGACATACCATAAAAATAACCGAGGACAATTTAGGCAAACATTTAGCTTAATCAATTAAAAGGGTATATCCTAGATTATTGTTTTTCTAAAACTTCTTACCTGTTCCAGAGCCTCTCCTTCATTTTGTTCACCTTTTAAGTTTCTTCCAGATATTAATTCCTCCCATGTGAACAGTAGTGAGTCTGTTACTTCACCAAATGGATTAAAATCAATTAGCCACACTTTGCCCTATATCAGAGAGAATATTGAGATACTAAAAGTTAATAAAGGACAAAGCTATATAGCACTTACTAAAGTCTATAATCTGCCTAAATTTGAAAAAGTCAAAGTAAATCAGAATGTCCTATTTTCATATATCTTTCTTCCCAAAGGAAACTTACCAAATATTACATTAACAATTCTAAATGAATTTAAAGCAAAAGATGGCTTTAAAATATGTTAATGCTTTGCAAATGACTTCTCTCCTTTGGCTAAAAAAAGTTACATTTTGATGAAAGTCCATTTGACTAAATAAAAATGAATTAATGGTATAGTGGAAAGAGTACTGACTCTGTAGTCAGAAGCCCTAGGTTCAAATCCTCCATGTAATGATGACATTGTAGTTTTAGGAAGTCACTTAACCTCCCTAGGCTGCAGTTTCCTCATCTTTAAAATGAAGGAGTTAGGATTAGATGGCTCCTGAGGTGCTTTTGATCTTCTGACCACAGAAATAAAAGACAAGTATCATTTTTGACAGCAGCGTAAAAAAGAAGGGATCTTGAAAAACCATCTGCATTTTTTCTTCCTTGGTCTTGCAACTAATGTTAAGTTTGAGGTCCAAACCCTAAAGGAAAAAAAGACCATCGCATAAGGAGGCCCAACTAAAGCCTCATGATAAGAAGCAGTATGAAGAATGTCTTAGAGAAATCTGGCAGAAAGGAAAGCAATTGTTTACTGGCAGGAAACGATTATCCACTTGACCAGCCTGCATCAACTAGTCACCCATAAGACCAAGAGTTTGCTAAAAGTGCGGATATTCCCCATACAGGGAAGTGTGACAATTCTGTTTGTCAACGTATTTAGACAATGTATTTTGTTGACATGCTCCCAACAAAGAAAAACGACTTTCACTGTGGTCTATTGGTGGCCTTGTGTTCTGGAGATACTCATTACCAAAAGGCTGGCTTCAGGGTGTGGGTCACATAAAGTAATGAATATTAGTGTTTGAAGAACTGTGATCTGTGTGAGTAGAGGGAAAACCCATGGTCTTTAGGTTGGTTTTGTATGATAAGATTTGGTATAGTCTAAAAGAGGGGAACAAAATAAAAGGGAAATAAAACCCTTCAAAAGGAAATGGCAGAATTCTCTGATTCTGAAAAAGACAGATTTTTCTCAGCAGACAGATAGCTAGACTTAGAGGAGAAATATCTCTGAACTAGTCAGGCTAAAGAGAAGTTTAATTTGGAGTAAAAGATGTGTCAACGAGAATAAGTAAGTATACAGAGAACTGAATACAAGCCCTGGGCACGATCCTAATAGAACATAGCTGTATATACTTCAGTACTCTGAAGGACATGCAATCTGACGGCTGTAAGCATTCATTCTATCTGTGCAAATCAAAACATAGCTACATCTTCCATTCTGGCTGACTCTCCTTGGCCTACCAGAAATCCTCCAGGAGATTTACCTAACATACTGACCACCTTGCCATGAGCCTCTTACAAAGTGTGAATACCACTGTAGTCTGTCCATCTATTCCTTATTCTTGCAATGCGATCAGCTCACCTCCTTTATTGGCCATATAGCTCTAACATTTTGGGGTGCTTTTTAAATTTAATTCATTGTTGTTAATATGCTACAAACTATTGGCCGCTCCAAAGGTCTCTCTACTGAATAGCAGAGAATTGTGAATAAACCTGGGAAAGCCAATCAAAGAAGTAGAGGTAACAAATATGTCATTTAGTAAAAGTTTTTTTTCTTTAGTATTATTTGTTTTATTTGTGTTTTTGTTTTATTTATATATTTTTATTATTTTATTTGTATTTCTTATTAATTTAGCTAACTTTTCTTCAATTATTTATCTATAGAATTTTATATTGTGTTTACCAATAAACACTGGCCAGTATTAATTATATTCTCCCTATATCCAATCATCTTTGAAAGCTTTAAATAGTAGACTGCTGAATTAGCTAACATATGTGGCAGAAACATGTTATAGTAAATTTCCTAAGAAATTTCACTAAAACTCTCTTCCAATACCAAAAGTGCTAACTAACATCATCATGATAGCTGTCCATGGATCAGGTTCTTATCACTGCTCCACTCCATCCACAAAAGGTAAACCTACACCTTTAACAATTTCTATATTCTCAGTGATGAAGAATCAGACCTTTTTTAGAAGTTTGTCAATACTTGGTTATACAGAAAAATGTCAACCATGGTTATCTGAGTTATTAGTAAAATGTCTCCCTTACACTTTGAGTTCTCAAATGTAAGAAAACAAGTAGCAATCTGTGCAAAAAAGTAGAAAATGAATAGCCTGGGATATTTTCTAATCTCTATTCGTTCTGCTTTATTACTTTTTCAAACCATTAAACAATCTCATTATAATCAACCATCCTGCCTGTTAAACATAGGACTACTTAATTAGCTCAGTAACAGTACTGAGATCTATAAACTGGAATATGTCACACTGCAAAAATAACTCCAGAAAATAAGTCAATCTAAATACCAAGGCTAGCATTGGACTGGCGGAGTTTATTTCTTGGTTCGAAGGTCATAGTCTAGATTAAAAAAAAACTGAACCAGTTTTAATTAAGCATAAAAATTTAAAGGTTAACTCTTTCATCAATTTTGTTTGACTAGAGCTTTAAAATATTTTCACATGGACTCTCTGGGCATAAAACACACTTTCAGGCAATCTACCTTGCAATAGGATTAATGTTCTTTAAATAATGTTTTCATTACATCACCCCCTATTCAATGTTACTCAAAAACTGAATGTCTCCCAATTCCTACCATCAAGCCTAAAATCCTCAAGTTGTTTTGAAGGCCCTCCATCATCTGTCCCCACCTTACCTACTGGAATTTACTCTCACTACTGTATAAAGTAAAAGGTACAGACATTGTATAAAGTGAAAAATTATGTTGTACACATCACAATTGCTACAAGAGTTCTGTGAAAAGGAAGGTAGTCAGTGCTAAGTAATCAGAAGTACCATCATGTGGCAACGAGATTTGGGCTAGGACTTAAAGGATGAGTAGGACTAGGATAAATGGAAGGGAGAAGAGGAGGCCTTTTTCCCACTATTCTACAAAATGTACCCTCTATTTTAGATAGGTTAGAATTCTCAGTTTCATGAACACACCATATTCATTATAACCTTTATGCCTTTGTTTATCTTATTCATATCTCTTTGAACACCCCCCTCTTTTACCCTCCAATTGCCCCAAATCTACAAAATCTTCAAGTATCAAGTAAATCCCACTTGCCAAAGGGGAGCCTTCTCTGACTACTTAGCTCTGAACAATCTTCTCTTTCACAGAACTCCTATAGTACCTATCTGTGATAATACAGAACAACTGTGCATTTTATGCAGTGTTTCATGCTGCGAAAGGATAGTTTTAAGAGTGCTGGTGTTATGGGTTCAACAACAACCATTTATTAAATATCCACTATACAGAAATCTCCATGTTAAGAATTGGAGGAGTTAAACTATGAATTATCCCTTCATGGAACTCAAAACTTGGTAGGGAAGATATTACATGTACACAAGTAATAAAGGAGAACAAATTATGATAAGAGTATAAGAAAGGAAAAGGTGTTTCTGAATGGGGGCTGGAATAAGGAGAAGAGACAGGTTTAGGAAAAGCTTTATGGAAGAAGTGGCATTGGAGTTGGATCTTGAAAGGTGGTTAGGAGAGTGGGGGGAAGGAAGCATTTCTGCTTTAGGGTGCAGTAAAAATAAAGGCATGGAGGTAGAAGAACATGAACAAAGAAGATCATGGCTGGGCCAATCTGGATGGAATGTATAGTGTTTATGGAGCAGTGTGACATAAACCTGCAAGTAAGGCGTTACACCAAATTATGTGAAAAAGGAATTGCAGAGAGGAAGAGACTAGTTAAGAAGGAGGCTTTTAGGATACTATTCTATTATTCCAGCCAGGTGTTAATAATTTCTTGCACTAGGGTACTGGTCATGAGAATGAGGGAGATGCTCATGGTCATGAGCATGTGAGAGATGCTGTGGAGAACTGACCACATTTGCCAGCTATCCAGATGTGAGAGGGAAGAGTCAAAGGGAATGTGTCTCAGGGATGAGACTGGAGCTGGAAATGTAGACTTCGAAGCCATCATAGATATGACAAATGAAGCCATGCAAGCGGGTAAGTTCTCCAAGGATGATAAAGAGAGAATAAAAGAAAGCCAAACATAAAGCCATGGAGAATACCCAACTTTGAAAATAGAAAAAGAAGAACCAGAAGAAAAACAAAAGGGTTGGCAAAAGAGTTAGGACAGAAACAAGGAGAGAGTACATTGTAAGACTTTACATTTATCTCTACATCTTATGATAGACAGCTCAATGGGCCAGCCTACTACCAAGGTCACAAGTTCATAGAATCATTGAGATAGAGCTAGAAAGGAACTCATCATCTAGTTCAACCCCTCATTCTACAAATGAAGAAACTGAAGCTTAGATAGGTTAAGAGACTCATTCAAGGTCACACATGTAGTAACCATCAGAAGAACTAAGGATATTTGGAGAAAAAAAAGACTTGGGAGTAAGTAACGTGATAGGCATCTTCAAGTACCTGAAGGAATTTGAGCTGGAAGAGAGATTTGACTTGTCTGCTTGGCCCCTGAGCAGAAAACTAGGAATGATGGGTGAAAGTAACAGAGGCAGATTTCAGCTCATTATTAGAGATGACTAATAATTAGAGATGACTAAAAGTGTGACACACTGTCTAGGGAGGTAGTTGGTTCATTTAATGAGTAAGCAGTTATTAAGCACCTACTGATGTGTTATGGTATGCATCTGGGATATAGAGAAAATAACATAAATTCCTGCCTTAAGGAGCTTATATCTTATAAGGGGTAAAATAACATATAAACATGAATAAAAAATATATGTAAATTAAATACTATCTTCAGACACATGGTCACACCCTTGTTCTTACTATAACACACAAGCGTTCCATACTTACACGATCAAAAAGACCAAAATTCCTTTATCCAACCCAAACCTAGTATCATTCCATCTCACCTTAAACTATTATCCTCTGTCTCCACTTATAACCAAATCCCAGAAAAAGTCTCCAATTGTCTCAACTTCTTTGCTTCTCAACCCTTTATACTTTGGCTTCCTACCCACAACTCAACTGACTCTTCTCTCTCTGAAGCTCATCTTCATTGCCTTTTCTTATTCTTCATTCTAGTTGGCCTCTCTGAAGCTTTTAATCCTATCTTTTGGTTCTGTGCTTTGGATGCCCTAGGTGCTTAACAGATGCTTGTTGAATTGAAGACCCCTCTTATCCTGAATACTCTCTCCTCACTTAGCTTCCATGATATTTTTCTCTCTTAGTTCTCACGGCTATCTGACCTCTCTCTCATTGTTTTACCAACTAAGCATGGATGTCCATTAATGCTCTATCTTGAGTGATCTCTTCTTCCATCCCTACACACTTACCCTTCTTTATCCCTAAGCTTCAATCTGTCCTTTTCAATTGGTTCCTTTTTTACTATCTACAAATGCAGAGTCGCCTGCATCCTTAAAAAACTCTCAATAGACTTTATTATCCCTTCAAGATATTGACCTTTAACTTTCTTCAATTTCTAGGCCAAATTCCTAGAAAAAGCTGTTTACACTCATTGCCACCACTTCCTCTTCTCACACTCATTTCTCAACCCTTTGCCACCTGGTGTCTAATTTCACTCACTTGACACTGCTTTCTCCAAAGTTCCAATGATTTCTTAATTACCAAATCTAATGGCCTATCTATATAATTCCCTTCCTTCTTGACCTCTGGAGTATCTGACACTATTAATCATCCTGTTCTAGTATATACTCTCTCCATTCTGGGTTTCTGTGACACTCAGTATTCCTACCCCTCACTTTTCAGCTCCCCTTTAGGTACTGTCTTCCCCCTTTAGAATGTAAGGTCCTTGGGGGTAAGGGCTGTCTTGATTATTTATATCCATATGCCCTACTCTTAACACAATGCCTAGCATATAGCAAATGCGTAATCAATCAAACTGATCGCTCTGATTGTCTAACTTAGGGGTGGGAACCTGAGACCTTGAGGCCACATGTGCCCTTCTAGGTCTTTGGATACACCTTTTTGACTGAGTCCAAGTCTTACAGAACAAATCCTTTCATTAAGGGGATTTGTTCTGTGAAGTTTGAATTCAGTCAAAGGGATGCACTTGAGGACCTCGAGGGCCTTGAGGCAGCAGGTTCCCCTTCCCTGATCTAACTGATTCTTCTCATTGTTCTTTATTGAATGATCATCCACATCATGCCTCCAACCGCAGGTGAGGCTCAAGGCTATCTCTCATTTGATGACTTCATCAATTGCCATGGATTTAACTATCTCTAAGCAAATAATTCTTAGATCTGTATACCCTGCTCTAGCCTTTCTCCTGAACAACAGTCTTGCAACACCAACTGTCCAATGTATATTTAGAATTCCACATCCAGCAGACATCTCCAACTCAACACATCCAAAACAAAACTCAAAGACCTAACCCTCTCCCAAACTTTCCTATAACTATTACCATCATCCTTCTAGTCACCCAGTTCACAACCTTGAGGCCACCCTTACCTCCTCATTTGCTTGTACCCCATATATCCACTCAGCTGCTAAATCTCAACTCTGGATTACTCCCACCATCTTCCTCCTATTCACATGCTGCTGAACAGAGCTGAGAAAAACCACGAAACCATCCTGCCTGGATCTGCTACTAATTTACGTTTCCTAATCTCACTGTACCAAAGTTATACTTCTACTTCTTCCTAACCTGATTAACCATCTCATTCTCCAGGCAGTTGTTCCAAATCTTTCTCATCCCAATGATTATGAATCCTCATTGGTCATCTTTCAAACCCTATTCCCTAACCCCCACTGCCTGATCTTTTATTCTTACTTCCCTCAAACCTTCACCACAGTCCCACCCCAAAGCTATCCACTCTTTCCACTGTGCTTTTGGAATGTCTACTCCATAAGCATTTGATGCCTATTTGAGGCACTTTCATCTCAAATCTTTGCTCTTCCCACTTCTTCCAACTTCTGGCTTTCATTGAGACCTAGCTTCTTCTAAACAAATGACACAGCCTCTCTAGCCACCCTTTCCACTACTGGCTCCACTTTCACTACTCAATGCCCTCAACTCACAGGCTGAAATAAGGGGACTGGAACACTCTTTACTCCCCATGGCCATTTCCAGGTTGTTCCTCTATTACAATCATTCAGTAAACTTTCCTCCTTTTAGGTTAATTCAATCCATATCTACCACCTAATCAAAATTCTGGTAGTTGTTATCTATTAACCTGCAAGACACTCCCCTTCTTTTCTCAGTGAGTTCAGTACCTGGCTCACACTTGGTCTCTTCTCTCTAATTCCTGCCTTCATATTAGGGGACTTCAACACCTTAACTTTACACTTCTCTAACTTACTCATTTCATATGACCTGCTCCTCCACCTTACCCCAACCAACACATACACAGTTATCCTCCTGATCATCACCTAAAAATGTACCACTTCCATGTTCATGAACTCTTAAATCACCTTGTTTGATCATAACCTATCGTCATTCTACCTTTCCTTCTCTGCCTTCCAACCCCAAAACCTGTTCTTTGTGTGGACAGTGACCTCTAACCCCCAAACTTTCAGTTCTCTCCTAGATCATTATCTCTTAATTCTCCTCTTTCCCCATCTTGACCCCTCGATGAACCACCTCAAATCTACAATGGGCTCTTGAATACCCTGTCCCCTTAACAAATTGCCAATCTTGCCCAAGACTAAGCCTTGGATCACTCCTTGCATCCGCTGCCTTTTCTCCTACGCACATGCTGCTGAACAAAGGTGAAGTAAATTATGAAACCCTGCTATCTGGGCCTACTACAAATTTCTCTTATGTAACCTCAACTGGGTGCTCACTGCTGCTAGGCAATCTTTTTACACCTCCCCAATTCATTCACCATCCCACCCACTAGTCTTCTAAGTTCTAACTCCAACATTCCCTATTCAATTGCCAAAGTGATTTTTCTAAAACATGAAGAAAAAAAAATGTGGCATTCCTAAAAGACAGTCCTGACCATGACAATCCTTTTACTCAATAAACTGCAATGGCTCCCACTCCCATCACCTCCAGGATCAAGATAAAGTTCTCTATTTGGTACTTAAAGATCTTTCAAACCTGGTTCCTCCCTGCCTTTCCAATCTTCTTACACTTTATTCCCTTACACGTACTCTACAATTCAGCTTTACTGGCCTCCTTACCATTCCTTGCACACTACACATCTCCTGTCTCCATGCCACCTCTGAGATGACATTTTTTTCTTATCTCCCAGCTACTAGTTCCTCTCCACCCCTGAAAATATCTTGTACTTATTTTATATGTACATATATGTATACATGGCATCACCCCCAATAAAATGTAAGCTCCTTGAGGGCAGGACCTGTCTCCTCATCACCCAGCACAGTGTCCTATACATAGTAAGCATTTAAGAAAGAGCTATGGATTGATTGGATGGATGCTCATCATGACATGACATCACTGCATAAAGTCTAATCTAAATGCCTAAAAAAAGATCTTATGACTTAAAATTGAAATCACCATCATAGGAATTTAAAAAATAAAATGGGTTATTTTTCCATTTAAAAGTTTTCCACACTAGACATTGCATTATCATATGACAGATGTGAGATCCACTCCTCTCAGTGCAGATGCTCAGAGACAGCTGTTGCCATGGACAACAACAAAGGGGTTCTTTGGCTGAGGTTAATTCAGAGAAGACTAAAAAGCAAGGTTAACAGGGCAAGTCCCTGCCTTACCATCTCTCCTGAGTATAAAAAGAGGAACCTACTGGCAGAATATTAAGTGAAGTATATTCAAAGAACTCTTTCCCAAACCGACCTATAGTTTCTTTTGCATAAAAACCAGCAGCCTCACCATTTCCTGTCTCCACCCTGCCACCGGCCCCCAGCTCCCTCTCCTGGTCCTCAACTCCCCACTCTGCCCCCTGGCTTTTGTTAATCTTGGTTTTAATCCTGATTGTGATCCAGATACCACTTTCTGTCTCTGGCCCTTCTTCTCCTCTGCCTGTATCATAATTATCTATCTTGGCCTTTAAAAGTAATATTGTACAGGACTTTTCTATCTAAAGCATTCTCTCTTTGACTCCCCAAACTAGCAAGACTTCAATCAGAAGGACAGAAAGTCCTTAGCCATAGTCCATGATGGGACCCAGGAAGCATAATATAATCCCTATCTTACTTGCTTAATTTTAAATTAGTCTAAAGGTATAAATAACTCAAATTATGCTAAGAATATACTTAACTGAAAACAAAACATGTTTCATCCTGGAAAAAAAGGCTTAACGGTTCCTATCTGTTTAAATATTATTCACCTTGTTGAGCATATTTTCAGGTACATCAAACTATGTTAAACAGGATCAGATCACAAAAAAACTGTGAGGCAAGCAAAGAAAGACACCTCTTGGTCAGGTGAAAACTAATCCTCACTAAGGTGTTCGATGATAATGGCTTTTTGTATCATGAGACTTTTAAAAATGAAAAGTCTTGATGACCCACAAAAATGAACGTCTAATAGTGATATTTCAAGTGATATTTCAAGCACTGTGGCAGACTGGTGAGATGGTAGTTTTTTTGTCCAAAATACATAACTCTACCTACTTAGAAGGATAATCTTGATTCCAAATTATATCAAACTTACCATACTATCTCGGTATACATCAAATACAACTGTAAAAAAAGAAATAGCCCAAATTATTTTTACAAACAATACAATTTAAGGAAATACAGTCATGTTTAAATGGTAAAAAATTACATTTAAAAACAAAACAAGCTCTAAACACTATTCAATGGTGCAAAAATTCCTTGGTTTTGAGAACAAGAAAAAATTTCTTACTTCAAAAACTTAAAACTAAGTCTTATAAAAGCCAAAATATACTTCATTGTTATCATCATGCTATTTCTTTCTTTCTAACATTTTCATCTATCATACTTTTGAATTAAAGTTTCATGGAACACATTAATTTCATAATGTCCAATTTGTCTACACACAGGCTACAGGGATGATTCCAGCTTGATACTAAGCAAACAGTACTCTTGGAATAGGTACCCATTTATTTGATTGGGGAGTGATATGAGTAATGTCTGGAGGTGGAAAAAATAAACTCTACCCACACTCAGAGAATAATTAATGCAATTTATCATCACAGCTCTAGCAGAGAAACTTACTTTGGCAAGTAGAGAAAACCTGAGCAAACACAATATTCATGAATACAGGAAAAATGTATTCTTTGATTCTCAAATACTTACATTATTAATTTAAAATGACAAATCGATGCTTAGTAAAGCTCTCCATCTGATTATATAATTTCAAGTATTATTTAAAAGACGGGTATGTAGTAGCATCAACACAACCAATCTATCTTGCCTTCTTTAAATGAATCAATATATATTCGTTATATATTATGAAATATACAAGGTATCCCAAAAATCTTAGTGAAGCTTTAAGCTATTAAAGCTTATATAAGTTATTAAAGCTTAAAACTTCACTTTTGAGACACTATATAATAAACATTTTATCATGATAGGAGAGATACAAATTATATAAAAAAATAAAGGTCTGAATTACAATAATTAAAGTACAAATAGACCATCAGATACACTAAAAAGCAATGAAATATTTGATATGAATCTCCATCTGCTCTTGTTTTGATAAGTTGGGGATCTGGGGGAGTATATATATACATTGGTAAGTAAAAGGTGAGGAGGTTTTCAATACAGTGGTTCAACATGAATGCCATGTATAAACTTCAGAAGTTGAATTTAAGGTATATGGGCAGAGGGAGTGGCCTAGACAGGAATGAGATGCTTCAGTTCCCCCTCACTAATCTTTGAGCAAAGGATGGAGGATGACTCGTTAGGTATGTTGTAAAAGGAACTCTTAAGTGGGTATTGGTAGTACTAGGTGGCTTCTGAGCTTTCTTCTTAATTTGAGAGTCTATGATAGCGTAAGCACCCTAAATCACATGATGAAATAGTCTCATAACATCCTAAAAAGTAAAACATAATGAAAATAACAAATACTCACAGTCTTCATCTAAGAATTTATATTGTATGTGTTTCTTGAAAAAATCCTGTATGGATCTACAGATCTCTTCATTTTGTTTAGAAATGTGATCATAGTATTGTGTATAATCCCTCTGGGATATACCTGCCGAGAAAATATTTGATATATCATAATATGCTTTCCAAATAAAATTTTATGAATCTTATATACTGAATCTTACAGGTGAATCCTATAATTTTACTTTTGAAAACATTTTATCCTCATAGTAACATATTAAGATAAAAACATTATTTCTACTTAGTATCTCTAGGAAAAATCCGGTTACAAGAATGATGCTTACTACCAAAATTTTAAAAATCAAATTTTCAAATTTTACTTTTATGAATTGCACTTTCAAACATTTAGCAAGTATTTATCAAGTGATTATTATATCCAAGGCACTGTGGAAAATATTAAGAATAGGACTGAGTATCTTCAAGAAACTTAAATTCTACTTGGAGAAAATACCTAGACGTAGGCAAGTAAACAGAAAACAGAGGATGTTACATCCAAATAACAATAACATATGAAGAGAGGGATATAAAGTACAATGGAAAGGGATGCCACGTGACTTAGATTTTGAAAGATGGATAAAAATCAGAGAGATAATTCTAAGCAGAGAGAAGATGGAGAGAAAAAAAAAACATTCTAGGTAAAGGGACCTATCTAGAGAACAGCAAGTAATATAATTGGCAGAAGGATAGGTACCTAAAAGAAAGCTGAAGATGATAAAGTTGGAAAGGTAGAACAGGGACAAACTGTAAAGATCCTGGAATGCCAGGGAAAGAATGTTGGACAGTGCTGGTAATGGGGAACCACTGAAAGTTTCTGAGTGAGGAAATGACATCCATCAGAATTTCTTTGATTCTTCGTTGAACTACATGAAAAATTAAAATAGCCCATCCTCTTTCTTCATGGAAAAGATTTTAATCTTCCTCTTTGTATTTCATAATATATTTCAAAACTGTCATTTTTTTCTTTGCCATACTTTCCCATCTTTATGATTCAGCTCTCTTAAGTAAAGGAATACCAAACATTCCTGGCTTTTTTTCTTGCTCTTTTTCTTTTAATGATTGGAGTTTATTTTTTACTGAAAAATACAACACAACTACATGCAACAAGACATAAATGCAGCTAAAAGGTTTTAATTATAAAATATATACAAAGATGTACCAAAAGTCTTAAAGCTTTAATAGCTTAAAACTGCACTAAAACTTTTGGATCACATGATACTTGATATATCTTTTTTCCTAATCACTCCTTTCCAACATGAATTTTATTTTCTTGCCCTAAAATTTAATTTTCACATCCAATATAACTTCATCTTCAAATTTCCCATCTCTTCCTCTTAGGGATTTATCCCTTTAAAATACCTTTCCAAATTTTCTTCATGCACACTGTAGTCTTTTTTTTTTCCTTTTAAAAAGGTATTGAAGGTTTTTTCCTGCCTTTATACCATCATTACTTCCCAATGTCACCCTTTGCCCATAGAAAGAAGCCTGCTATGTTACAAAGTATAGTTAAGCAAAATAAACTACAACATTGATCATGCCTGAGAGCACGTGCCTCATTCCACATCTACAGTTCATTACCTTTCCATAGAGGTGGGGTACATGTAGCTCTCCATCAGTGTTCTAGAGCTCACTCACACACTGAAGGCGGGGGCTGATGCCCTTCTATACTGTTGTGGCTTCAGGGACATCATTCTCTTGGTGTTGCTTCAAACTCATCTTCCAAAACTTCTCTGAGTTCTCAAAGCCCATCATTCACTATAGTGTAACAGCATACTCTCTTATACTAACATACTGCCATTTGTTCAGCCCATCCCCAAAATGCACTGGAGAGTAACCATGGCCACAACTTAACATGCTAAAGGAGAAATAAAAGGGGTTTCCTCCTCAATCTTTCAACAATAAGAGTACTTTGTGTTAGAGGCTCTGGATCTAAATACTTGCTTTTCTAAGACTGAAAAATAAACCTCATTGTTTTCTTTAATTGCATTCATGCTGAAGTCAATACAGGCATGACAAATACTATGTAAAATTAAAGGTATTATGATGAATATCAAAATATGGTTCCAAAAAATTTTTTAAAAAAACACACCGATGACATATGACCCTAACCAAATTCTATATAACTCTTGCCCAGGGTCACACAGCTAGTAAGTGTCTGAGGCCAGATTTGAACTCACTTTAAAGATATTATCTCAATCGAGTCTTGGCTACAGTTATTATTCTCAATTTCACAGATAAGGAAATTGAAGCTCAAGGAGATGAAATGACTTGTCTAATCTCACACAACTAGTGTCAGAGATGAGATCTGAAACAAAGACTTCCTGTATAGCATGCTAAACTCCCCTATCTGGCACTTAACAAATTTCTTCACAAGCTGGCTCTTTCCAAACTTCATATATATTACTCTGCTCCACTCACTGTGTGATCCAGGCATACTGGCCAACTCACTGTTCTGCATGCACATCTTATCTCCAGTCTCAGGCATCTACACTGGCTGCCCCTGATTTCCTCCAAGACTGAATTCAAATTAGGGGTTAGGATTAGAACTGTGATTTCATTGGTATAGAGAACTCTCAGGTAAGGAAACTCCCTCTAGCAGGAAGGCTGGAATTTTCTCTATCATTCAGAGTCTTAGAGAGCTGCCAGAGTACTGAGAGGTTAAATAACTTGCCTGGAGTTACAGAGCCAGGCCAGATTTGAACCTAAGGTCTTCCTGGTTTTCAAAGCTGGCTCTCTGTCCACTACACCATACTTCCCCTCAAGCTTTTTTGCAAATCATTGATAAAAATGTCCACAGTGGAGATCTTTGGGGCACTCCACAAGGGTGTTCCTTTCCATCAAACCACTGATGACTACTCTTCAGGTCTGGCTATTTGTCTAGCTCCACATAAAGAAAACTGTACTCCTGTCTAGCCCACATCTTTCCAACTTTTTCCACAAGAATAGCTTTGGACTTTGTGAAATGCTTTGCTAAAATATAGGCATTCCCCTGATCTGAAAATTCAGTAACCTTGTCAAAAAAAAAAAAAAACCAAACAAGGTCAATCTGGTATGATATATCTTGATGAAGTCAAGGTGGCTCTTTATGGCCACTACTCCTTTTCTAGATGTTCACAATCAATTTGTTGTTGTTCAATCATTTTTCAGTCATGTCTGACTCTTTGTGACTCCATTTGAGGTTCTTGGCAAAAATACTAGAGTAGTTTGCCATTTCCTTCTCCAGCTCATTTTATAGATGAGAAAATGGAGGAAAACAGGGTTAGGTGACTTGTCTGGGGTCACACAGCTAGTATCTGAGGCCATATTTGAACCCAGAAAGATGAGTCTTCCTGCCTGGAGTCAGGAGCCAATCTATCCACTGCACCACCTCACTGCCCAAACAATATGTCTGCTAAAAAATTACATGTCAAGCTTTACTTAAATCTGTAGTCTGTAAAACCTGTTAACCTGTGGAGAAATTCTCTCTCCCATTCTTCACTTAAAGAACATTCAAAGAACATTGAAAGTTGCCTACCAGCCATTAAAGGTAATTCTTTCATTACCCAGGGATGAAATCCTTCTGAGCCTATGACTGTAAACTCACCAAGGTCAAGGAAGTGTCTTCTAAACATCTCCCTACTTTATTTTGCATTATGATTTGCTATTAGCCATTTTTATTCCGTCCTTTCCAATCCAAAAGACACTCTCCTTGGCACAGAAAACAGAAGAAAAATAAAAAGATAAATTAAAGGAAGAACTATATACAGGTAAAAGTCTTGGATGGAAAGAATGCAAGAGATGATGCAAGAGAATAAAAAAAATATAGGGATTTGAAAGTATTAATAGATGTAATGCAAAGCAGCATTGATTCAGTAGAAAACAGAACAAACTCAGAAAATATTTCTGATGGGAAAAGACTGGGAAACAATTCAATCACAGTAATAACTCTGAAGGACAATACAAAGAAAGAAGCAAAGAAATAACACAGAAAAATATCCAATCACTATATCAAAAGAAAATATCCTAGAACTATCACAAAACAAGTGACATATTTTATATAATATTTTAATATATAATTTAATTTTATTATATATAATAATTTATATAATTATATATTGTATATTTAGAAGGAATTCAGAGAAACACAAGAAGAAAACCCAAATCAGATTCATCTAGGCATACCATCATCAACCTTCTAAACTACAATAACAAATAAAGCCTTTCAAGAGTAAAAATACATTTATCTATCAAAAATAAACCAAGGTCTCATGAGATTATATTTATTAAGATTTTTATTTTCATTCCAAAAATTCTTTTAAAAAATAGAATATAAGGCTATACTTTTAGGTTCCCAAAAAAATCAACAGCATAAAAGCATTATTGGGGAAACCTTACTTAACAGGAGTTATGAAAGACTTCAGCAATCTTATACAAGAGACTTAGAGGGGGTCTTGGTTGGCTACAAGCTCAGTGTAAATCAATGGTACGATACGGATGCCCAAAAGAAACTCAAACAATCTTAACATAAATTAGATGAAAGTATAAAATAAGGCAATCAACAATTACATGGTTATTTGTTCTGGTCAGATAACATGTGGGATCTTAATAACAACAGCTGGTATTTAAAAAGTAATTTAAGGTTTGCAAAACATTTCTATACATGCTAACACCTGAACCTCAAAATAAACCTATAAGTATTTTTCCTTTTTTTTAAAATTTATTTTGATTTATCAAAAATCACTTCCATAAGCTTGGAGTTTTAAAATTTTTCTCCCCTCCCTCCCTCTTCCCTCCCTAAGATAGCACTCAATCTGATATAGGCTATACATACACATTTCTATTAAATATAGTTGTAAGAAAGTGATGTCGTAAGAAGAATTAGAACCAATAGGAGGAACCATCAGAAAGAGGAAACAAAGCAAATAGTATCCTTCGATCTGCATTCAAACTCTATAGTTCTTTCTTTGGATGTGGACAGCATTTTTCAGTGACATCAGTATTAAAAGCATTATTATCACCATTCTGGTCTATACTTTTGATTTTATCCAAGGCAGTCAGGCACAGTAGACAGAGTACCTAGAGTAAGGAAGACCTGAGTTCAAATCCAGTTTCACTGAATACTATGTAACACTACACAAATAATTTACATTCTATTTGTCTCAGTTTCCCCATCTATAAAATGGGGATAACAATAGCACCTTTCTCCTAGGGTTGTTGTAAGGATCAAATGACTAATAATTGTGAAGCGCTTAGCACAGTACCTGGCACACTGTAGGTGCTATATAAATGTTAACTGTTGTTGTGTAGGGAACTCCTAGGGTAAAAACTCCTTCCATTAATGCAGAACAGCAATTAGTCTCTAACTAATAATCTTAGACAATCTCTTGCTGGCACCAAGAAGCCACAAAAATAATGTCAGAAGCTAGATTTGAATCCAGTACTCTTTCCACTATACCACACTGAGCAATGTGTCTGATTCTGGGTCCTATATTTTAAACTGAAACAAGTTTGGCATGTTGAAGGAAACTATGTCTGGGGACCATGGTGTGAAAAACAGTAAGAACTGACAATATTAATCCTTGAGAAGAAACCTGGCAATAAAGTACTACTTTTTTCATCATACATTGATTAAGCACCTGTATGCTTCAGGGGTTAGAGGGGGCATTTCAGTGTATGAACTACTTTACTGTACATTTGTCACAAACACATTGCTTTTGGACTTTTGAAAGAATTAACCTCGTCTCTTATTCAATTAGATTTTCAGCAGGATGAAGATTACTAAAAGGAATATCAAAAATAACATAAAGGGGTAGCTAGGTGGCACAGTGGATAGAGCACTAGCCCTGGATTCAGGAGGACTTGAGTTCAAATCCGGCCTCAGACACATATGACTTACTAGCTGTGTGACCCTGGGCAAGTCACTTAACCCTGCTGACTAACCCCCTCCAAAAAATAACATAGAGTAGGCTAACAAACATGGGTGATTTGTACTCTTCTGTTATTTAATTACAGAAGAATATCCTAGATAAGAATAATATGCCTGTGCTTGAACTAATTAAAAATTTAAAAAGTTAACTTTTCTGATATCTTTTATGACACATGGGGAAAATATATCTGTTAGAGCCCTCAAATGCATTGCCTTCAGTGAAATAGGAAGGGAAATGATTATTTAAACACAAAGTTAATTCTTTGTATGAAGCAAATTTATCACTGCAGCCAATGCTCAGCCCCTCCATGGTGTTTTCCCTGACCTTGATTTTGCTGGACCAACCGTTCCTTTGGCCATATTGTTCCTGGAAGTTGATAACATTGTTCTTCCTAGCACCCTGAACCTCTAAAGCAGCGTAGCACAGTGGACAGAATACTGGACTTAGAGGCAAGAGAGACAAGAGTTAGAATCCCAACCCAGATATTAGTTGTGTGACACTGGACAAAAGATTTAACCTCTCTGAGCCTCAATTTTGTCATCTGGATTGTTATAAAGATTGTTATCACAGGACTGTTATAAAGAAATCTTTTTGCAAATTTTAAAGTACCACAAAATTGTCAACTAACAGTATTATTATTATTGCTGCTGTTTTTATTGTTCTTCAAATATGTGAAAGACTGTCAAGGTGAAAGGGGATTATACTTTTCTTGTGTAACTCACAAGGGTGGAACTAGGACCAACACGTTATCTTCAGATTTTATCAGTTTTTGTTGTTGCCACATTATACTGTGGCACTGAGTTTTCAGGACTGCTTTCACAGAACAAACTAGTACAAATGGATGGAAGTTTATGCTCAAAACAAGGAGCAACTATCTGAGATGGCAAAATGTGGAACAGACTTTTGATAAGGACAGTGAGTTCTCTACCATAGAGGACTCTAAGCAGAGGATGAATGTCTAATTGTCGAGGACATTGTAGAAAGGACTCAAGTTTTGAACAGATATTGGATCTGACCATCCATGACGTCCTTCCAACTCTGGGATTCTAAGAATCTAAGTTACAGGGAGACAAGTTTTAAGTGATATAAGAAATATTTTTAAACCATTAGAGCTGTCCAAAAATGTAATGTACTCAACAAAACCGACTGAGCTAAAATTAGAAGGGAAACAGATAACTGGTAGAAAAAAATCTTTGCAGCAAGTTTCTAACAAGCCTCTCATTCCCAAAATAAATAAGGAACTTATTAAAATCGGTAAGAGTAAAAGCCTCAATTGATAAATGGTCAAAGAATATGAAGAGGCAATTTTCTAATTAAAAAATAAAATAAAACCTAGATATCAATAACCACAAGAAAAAATTCTGTAAATCATTAATAACCAGAGAAATGCAAATTAAAGCAACTCTGAAGTTCCACCTCACACCAATAATATACTGACAAAGTTGACAAAAAAGGAAAATGACAAATTTTGGAGAAGCTCCTGGGAAATGGGCATATTAATGTACGGTTGGTGAAACTTTTAATTGCTCCAGCCATTCTAGAAAATAATTTGAAACTATGACCCAAAAGTATTAAAGTGCACATCACCTCACCCAGAAATACCCCTACTAGGCCTATCCTACAATGAGATCAAAGAAAGAGGAAAAGGACCTATGTGAACAAAAGCATTTTTGTTTTTATTCTTCTCCAGGCGTCATTCCTGACTCTCCAGACTCTTTCCACCATGCCACAGCAGTCTCTTCACCCTGAAAGTTCACTCTGCCTCTAGCCTTCTCATACTCTAAGTACACCCTGTCCCTGTAGCCCTTTCTTTAACCAGCATTTTATAGAAAGTGTCCAGGCCAGTCATGTCTTCATTCTTCTCCAGGCCCTATTCCTGATTCTCTGGACTTTCTCCATCATGTCCCAGCTCAAGTACCTTTCTTAGACTTTTTAGAAGGGAATGCCTCAAAATTCTGTAATTACTTACAATCATAATCCCCCTAACTCCAAAGTTCTATAGTTATTTGTAACTTATTCCCCAAAAAGTTTGGTTTTTTAAAGTAATTTTATAAACAAAATAAAAAAAAGATTCTCACCAATAAGCTTATTTTCCTTGACAAAACACCTGAATTCTGCGCCAGGAATTAATTCGCACCATTTTCGAAGAACAAGCTGCCAAGAGAAGAAAAATATATTACCACCATCTAAGAAGGAAAGGCTAAGAAGAATGACAAATGTTTACCTTAACATGAACACATCTAGGGTCAGAAAGTGGTATTACCAGAGGTATCATGTGATGTATAGGATAGTATTATGGTCTTTTCATACAACTAGGGACCTGACCTGTGAGTTCACTAATACAGGGAATTCCCAGATGAGGAAACTATCGCTGGTACCTTTTCTGCAACTTTAATACAGAGAACTGCTGAGGGCACGGTAGGATTAAGTGACTTGTCCTGGGCCATAAAGCCAGTCAATATGTGCCACAGGCAGGATTTGAATGCTGGTCTTCCTGGCTCCAAGGCCAGCTCTCTGTCCAGCACATCACACAGTCTGTCAGACCATTTAGTAAAAAGGGAAAAAAATTACTGAAACTTTATGACAAATGTAATTTACCATTTTGAATGTGCCTACATATTATTCAATATGCAAAAACGTCCCCCCAAAACATCACAAATGGAAAACATTTTCTCCACAATAATTCATGCTCCCTCACCTCAAAAAGATGAAAACAGTTCATAGCTAGCTCTACCTCAAACACTATAGCTATGGTGCTTATTATGAACTAATTTTTATGGTTTGATAGTAAAATATTAGAAAGGCAACAATAAAATACTACTAGGAGCTTGCCTACACATAGAAATGGATACAAAACAGATGCTCATCAAATGGAGGACAGCTAAACAAATTCTGGTACATATGTATTATTGTACTATAAGAAATTATGAACATGATAAATATGGAGAAATGTGAGAAGACTTACAAGAACAGAAGCAATGTGAAGTAAGCAGAACCAGGAAAACAATATACAGAATACATCACCACCACAAATGGAAAGAACAAAAATAACTGAAATTGAATGCTATAGCATTATAAAGAACAAGCTTGGCCCCCAAAAGGAGGAAATACCTCCTCTCCCACCCCAGCTTCTGGCCAGGGGGTGGGGAGAAGGCCTAATGTCAGACATTTTCACTATCTTGGATATTTTGCTTAACAGTTTTTCTTTTTTATTCTTTGATGTAAAGGATGGTTCTCCGAAAGGAAAAGTAGCAGGGATAAATTGGGAAATATAGATGATATAAAAATAAAAGATATCAGTGAAAATTTATTTTTTTAAAAAGGAAAAAAAATTATCTTAAATTAGACTCAAATGGTAACATAAAAAGAAACCTCATTCTCCTGCTCTGATATTGAATAACTTATCATCATGAGTAAGTCATTTAATCTCTCTAAGCCCCAATACGTCCATCTCTAAAATGGGGAGAATATCTCTAAGCACCAACTTCAGAGATGCTATGAGTTTTAAATAAGATGACATAGATAAAAGGTTCTGAAAACCTTAATATGTTATGTAAATACAAGCTGTTATTATTATTATAATGCATTAATGTGAACTTCAGAATGGAATTTGGAGGATGCAAAAAATTAGTCAACATTTGCAATAATCCTTTTTCTATCTTCCAGTTTTGTGACCAGAATATTGTCTAAAATACACTAATCTGTATAAAAATAAAGTCATGATGATTATCAACACATCATGACAGCTATGTAGTCAGTCTTCATCAATAAAGGTCTCTGGAATGATACAGAAATCATATTTAGACAAACAGTTACTGCAGCTGGCAAGTAAAATAGCAATAAGTCATGAGACCACAATGTCATTATTCATTTCCATCAAACTTATATCAAAAATAATAATATTTGTATACCTGAATATTTCAATCATGATTTTAATAGTGTATGCATTACCCTTCCAATGATATGAAGCTTAGTCTTCAGGAGTTGCTACAGCTGGAAATTTCACCAATCTTTGACTAACCTGCAGATAAGTTCCTCCAAACTTAGACAAAAGACTACAATGAGCTAGGACAGTGGGCCGAAGAAAAACAGATAAAACTTGACAAGGAAATAAATGCAAATTGTCTCATACTTGAGCTTTATAAGTATAAGATGAGGAAAGCATGGCTAGAAAACAGTTCATCTGAAAAAGATACGGGAGCTTTAGGGGACGACAAGGTCAGTATGAGTCACCAATGTGATCATGCAGCCAGCAAAGCTAATGTGATCCTAGGCTGCACTAAGAAAGGCGACGCCTTCAGAAGGGGATCATAGGATACTGTATTCTGCCCTGGCTGGATCACATCTACAGACTTGTGTTCAGTTCTGGATTCCAAATATTAGGGAAGACATTGCAAAGCAGTAGAACATCCAGAAGGAAGAGACCCAGGAGAGGCAAGAGTGCCGCTGGTCACCATGACACCTAAAGAATCGCTGAAGGAAGTTAGTAAGGATTTTAAAAATAGTTGTTGATGTCTCAGATGGGATGAGATAACTACCTTTAAGTATTTTGAAGGATGTTATATGGAAGAAGAATTAGGTTTGTTCTTTTAGGCCTAAGGGGCTAAAATTTAAAGTAGCTGGTGAAAGTTTAAGAGGCAGATTTAGTCTTGAAATAAGGGAAAGCATTAAAAATTAAGAGTGTCTCAAAAGTAGAATGGCATAGGTTCCCCCTAACTAAAAGCCTTCAACCAGAGGCTGAATGGCTATTATTTGTCAGAGATGCTATAAAGTAGATTACTGTTCAGGAAGACCTAAATGGCCTTCTGAGGTCCTTTCTGACTCAGATTCTGTAATTCTTCATTTAACCAATGTTTACTGAGTCCTTACTATATATCTGGTACCATTCTAGGCACTGTGGGAGGTACAAGATAAAATATGAGGTCCTTGTTCTCAATGAGTTTATAATTTAAAAGATAGCAAAAGGATGAAACCTTTTCCTACTCAAAAACAAAACAACCCCAATCTTTAGCTTTTAAATTTTGAGAATTAAAATTAAAAGTACTCATATGTTCAAATGATCTGTGATCTTTTTGATTTGGAAGTTCTCTCCAATAAATCCAATAAAAATTCACCACAGAGGATCCACCAAATATGCTGAAGATCCTCCTTGCTTTCTCTTGACATCACAAAGGTACCAGTGAAGCACCCTGGTGCCTAATCCCTTGCTCTTGTCACATGACTAGCCCATTTTCTCTTCCTATCATATAATTATGTTATAATGTCTTTTACCCCAGTTGTTCTTCAAAGTTCCTCACTGATTATATGTTACAGCCTGCTCATACCCACCATGTGTCTTTTCATTTCTCTGTGAAAATCATCTCTAATTCTTTGGAGATTTTGGTATTCTATGTTTTGTTGTCACAAAGCAACACCAGTAAAATGACGGTATTTAAAAAAAAATGGGCCTTCATTTTCATGGAAAGTTTAGGGATATTAAGGGAGCTTTGCATTTTCCAAAGGCAATTCATCCTATTCTCCTATTCAATTCTAAGACTAATATGTTGTCTATTTGTACCATCTGTCCCAGATGTGCAAACTGACAGACAAACTCAGTAAGTTTCTCTTTGAAATGCATGCTTTATTCTGGGAAATAAATATTCATCCCCTGGGTCTTTATCAATGGTCAGCCAAACCCCTCTTGAATGCTCAGTTCTCTTTCAAAAGGCTCAGTAACATTCCAGGCTTTAACGAAACCAGCACGAAGGCATCTTTGAACATAAACACCTAGAGAACCTCATCATCTGCAGGGAATGTTTCTTCAACCCGGACTCTGCTGCATGTCCTCCACTATAGTGACGAAAAGCTTTGGCACAGATATGATATTTCACCCGTCGTTTATAATCAAAGGATTGTCAAACAAGGTTGTTTTTGTTACAGCTCTCAAAAAAATCTTGAGTAACTTTAATATATGAATGAGAGATATCGTTGGAAAAAACTATCAGACAACATTTTGCTCTACCGGATCAAATGCTTTTTTTCCCCATAATTAATCAGCATTTTGGGATCTTCTATTTGCTACACCTTTCAGTTAGATGTGAAAATGGCAAAGATGTGATCTCTCATTAAATATTACTTGTTCCCTACTAACACCCTTATCAAGTATGCCCTCAATTCATGCAGTAAGATGATTCTCATAAAGATTTTGTATAAATGGGAAAATATGCATACAGGCCACTAGTTAATGATATTCTCTTAGTCACCTTTTTTCAGCAGTACTGAGGTCCAAGATTTTTTCCTTTTCCCTTCCTTCAACTATCTTGAACAACTAATCCCTCACACCCCTCACAATTGTGTCACCCTTAGGTTGCATATACATAATCCAATCAGGCTGCCTTTCCCATTTTTGTTCTCTTTAGTGCCACTTCTGCATCACAACCATCAAAAGCAAACACTGTGAGCCTATGGTTCGAGTGTGCTGGTTTCACTGTTAGAGAAAAAAATCTGTTAAAATGATTTTTGCATACCTATTCCATTTTTTTCCTATTTGTTGTCCTCCTTCCAATTTCATACTTAAATACCCTTAGGATGGCTTTACCTGTCTTAACAAGCTTTCTTTAAATTGGTTTTACCCTCCATTGCTTTTTCCTGCTTTATGAGACAAGACTACTCATAACTGTCCATCATTTTTTTAAAAAGATTTTACAAATATGTTTATGTTCTAAACTGGTATTGTCTTTGCCAGTAACTTACTATGGCAAGTAAGTCAGATTCTTACTAAGGCTATTTCTGGACTCTTTTGGTCTCCTTGCTGTGGCAATTAACTTACGCACTTTAACTTCTGCATAAAATTGTGATCAGTATCAGTGTAATTTTTTGTTGCCTATTTCCCATTTTTTGAATGGCAATTATTTGTTTAAATTACTCTGGAAGGAATAACTCAGTTTTAGTTATTTGCCATATATTTTTGTCATTTTTTAAAAATTTTATACTTTTTTATCAGCAAAAATCCTTCTCTTCCATTCCCCTTTTCCACTGAAAAATAAAGAAAAACAAAGCTATTACAAACATGCATAGTAAAGCAAAATTAATTTTCCCATTAGCCTTGTCAAAAAAAAAAATCAGCCTTGTTCTTCACTCCTGAGTCTCCTACCTCTCTTTCAGGAGGTGGGAGA